CAGAGTCTGCCCAGAATTTTAAAGATTGCTAACCCCGATCAAGGACAATATCGAAGATTATTAACAAGCATCCAAACTAATCGATACATTAATGTTTCTGCACCTAAACTAGCGTTTTCTGCTGCTTCGCCTCCAGAATCTTCTACATTTATCAATCTCCTCCCCAATCTCCTTCCCTTCACTCAAGAGACTTTCCACAACTGCGCCTCCCGTACAATAGGGGAAGCTACCCAAGGATACGTGTATCTAGGGACAAAGCATGGTTTCGAAGAGTCTGTGAGAGACATTTTGGATGGTGATTTTCCTTATGCCATTTGCGTTTATTGAAGTGAACGATTTTGTAATGTGAGCTGTTTCCATGATTTCATGAGAATTTAATAGATTTGACGAGTGATAAGTAAAACTGTTTGCATTTCTCTTACATCAGTTTAATAATAAAGTAATATCGACTATTACTTTACGAAAATTGAAGTAGATCTACACTTACTAGCATAGAATGTAGTTAATTAAAAGTGTGTATTTATTTCATACGTACAGGTAACCTGAAATAGCCATGTTATTCATGATTGTAGAATCTTGTATCTAGAGCCAGTGACTGTTGATGTATGTAGGGACGTTTCTAGGTACATAAGCGAAGCAATAGGTTGGATTCAATTGATTTCAGGATGTAATCTGGTCATGCTTTGAAACAAAGGAAATAGCAGAAGACCGCAACCATTACCAGAAACAACTTATAGGGCAGGTTTTTATTGTTGTTAATAATAGTAGCCAATTCGTTGATCAGCAATAGTACTATTGTAGAAAATGACGAATCCGAAAACTTTATTGTTCAAAACTTAAAAAACATAAAAGTTAAGCCTCCTGACCCATCTGATTGGTTGATCTCAAAGGCAGCAAACATTTTTTTCCAGTTTACTTTACAAGTTATAATCTGATTAAAGTCCTTTCTGTTTAAAAAAATGCTGTTATTATATCTCATGAAGTGGACGTAGAAGACATAGCATGAGCTCCAGAATCAATCTGTATTTGGTTGTAATTAGGGCAGCAAAATTGTTTTTCCTTTAGTCACTTTATTATAATCTAGGTTTGTTCAGTAAATGTGGAATGAAAAAATAACATACAGTTGTAGTGTTTTTTATTTTCTTTGCATGCTATTCCTGTTATAAATAATTTAATTTCAAATTTAGTATTCCAAACAATAACTCTATTAATATCTCAACACTGCTTAATGAACTTCTGGCACTAATTAAAAAGAAAAGAAAATTCCAACGGATTTGGCAGTCCCATAGAAAGATAAACTATAAACAACATATATGCAGCTATACAAAAATAACATATATGCAGCTATTCTACTTGTTACTTCTCAACATTAACAACAAAAAAATTAGAAAAATAAAATATAAAAACTCGAGGAAATGATAAGATATCTAATATTATATTAAAAAATTAACTCCAAAAGTAATAAACCCACACACTTCATTATACAATTCTTGCCTACGAATGAACAACTTCCCTAAATCCTGAAAACAGCATTAGTAATACTCATTCCAGAGCCAAATAAAGATAATACTAAAATTGAAAATTATAGTCCTATAAGTTTCCTCCCTATTTTATCAAACATTTTGAAAAAATCAATCTTGGCCAGATGAAATGAATTTGTTAATGAAAATAACATAGTTCCTCACACGCAATTTGGTTTCTGCACAATAATTCAACCACACATCAACTATTATGACTAACAAATTACGTAGCAATTTTCAAAAGTCAAAATATACTCTCACATTATTTCTTGATATACAAAAAGCATTTCACAGTGTCTGGCATATCGTCTTCTATACTAAATGTGACAAATTTGCTTATTAACAACAAATTATTAAAAGTTTTCTCTCATTTAGACGTTTTAGTGTTCAAATTCATACAGAAATATCTACGAATTACTCAATAAAGGTTGAAGTCCCTCAGAGGTCCACATTTTCGCAAACTTTATTCAAGATATTTATTTATGATATAACAATTCTTAATAATTCTGAAATAGCCTTCTTGCGGAGAATACTGCAGTTTTTACTTCTCATAAACACCTACCAATAGGTCGAGACAAATTACAAGCTGACTTTAACATACTTTCAAAATGGCTACAAAAATGAAAAATAACTATTAATTCTAATAAATGCCAAGCAAAAGTATTTTAAATTAACAAAGATGAGTCATTTTCCATCTTTAGAAACATCATTCGGCCCTCTCTTACATATGCGTTATAGTATAGTGCAGGGAAGTAAGCGTGTTTAAAGGAGATAATGCGATAAGGATGAGGAATGAAAATTCGCGCCCATAATGAACCGTTCGTTTAGACACTTCTCCAGCAATGACTGGTGTCGATCAGAGAAACCATGGAAAACCACCGATCAGAAAAGCTGGCGCGTCCTCCAAACATTGCATTCGACCCAGGCATCACGTTCGCGTGGAAAATCAGTGTCGATCGGAACGGAAGCCCCAGGGCCTCCCGCTTACAGGCGCAGAAGAAACAACACTGTTGCCCCTGAGCCAACTCTGCTGGTCTCTTAATGGCGAATGGTGGAGGTAGGAGTGGAGGTAAGCGTGGCATTGGTGAAGAACGCGGCGTCGCGTCGTAGTGGTTAGAAATGAAATAAATAAAATAACAAAAACAAATAAAAATCGTCCAGGCTACACCAAGTATTACATAAAAGTGATGTTTTTGACGACCGTATGTCTCAGAACAAAGTTAATGTGATAGGTCCTACAATTGATGCGAATACATTTTACACTTTAATACAGTGTAATTACAATTCAAAACATTACCGCAAAATGTGCATCTTACAAAAATCTACATAATTGCTTTGAGTATATGTAGGTTATGGTAACTTGGTCATTGTTAAAATAAAAAAAAAACAAAAATGAATACTGGATCAAAGCGCAGCACTTCACGACTGATATCATCATATTATTATTGAACTTCATGTTTTTGTTTCCTAGAGTTTATATGAAGCATCTTTATGCAAAAACAGTAACCCCCTAGTGGCCAAAAGAGGCAACGCCCCCTAGGCCAGCAATCTAGTTCATGATTGTGACAAATGCCCGAGAAATGCTGGGTTTCTTAACGCAGTACATTATAAATGAAATTATTTAGAAAACACTAAATATTTGAATAAGAATGTCAAAATGTTGAGATTTCTCAGTTGCCCCTGGGACGGAGGGATTGGTGTTGAGCAAGGGGTGCAGGGGGTCCCCCCCCCCGGATCAGCGCTGATGTGCCGGCGCCGGGGGAAGGGCACATCTCTAATTCAATAGGGCTGCGCAGCGGGGCCCAGCGGCGACCCCTAAGGGCTCTCGACTCCTGGTGTACACAGGGCTTTGTGCGCGCTCGCCCTTCACGGGCTCTTAGTCCCCTTGCGGGGGCCATTACGCTCTTGTTGGGGGATTCGGTGTCTTTAGCAGGATTTCATCAGCTACTTCGGCCATAAAGGCGTTGACACGTTCAGTGCTTTAGATACATTTGGCTGTTATTCTTTTAAGATAATCCTCCTGAGCTCATGATCCTACAATTCAAACGTTACCAGACCTTATGTTCTAAAACAGATACCTACAATGAATATAATCAAACCGCCAATCAGAAGCAATGCATTTTTCGCTCGTATGATAATGTTCGAAACCGGTTCTTAGCTACACGAATAATGTCAAATTGTTATCCATTCGTATTCTTCAGTTTCTATTACTAAGTATTGGTAAAATATACTTATCTAAGAGTCAGTAATATCTAGCAATCTGTAGTAGTAAAACAATTCTAAAAAATCCTAATTATATCCTCAATACTGGATTCAGAAATACATATTTAATAGGTAAAAATTCTGAAGTCTTAAATAGGGCTATTATTGTAATAAACAATAATAATGATACAATTGTTAACCAGAAGTCACCTGAACTACTGAATTGTTAACCAATTAAGTCATCTGAAATAACGCGATGGAAATTTTTATTACTGGTAATATCACAAGAGAATGGGGAACTCGCGATAAATACACAAGCCGCGCAGAAGTGAGTCGGTTGATCGACAAATCTCCAAATATGAAGTGATATCACGTGTGACTTTAATGAATAAACTTTCATAAACTCAAAACTATTAAATAAACAAATAAGACGGAAAAGATTCTGTACTTTTAACATACCATTCCTAACAATCATTATCTTCCGCAATGTTTTCATGTAACACATATAAGTTGTGCTAGGAAATGAAGTCAGAATGTTCCTTTTATATTCTAAAATACCCATTTATCAACAAGAAAGATATACTTTTAACATAACACGTAAATTATCAGGAACAAAAAAGAACAATTCTTCAAAACACAATTACCTTCATCCCAGTCATTCAAAATGTTTAACTTTTCAATTACAAACATTAGAAACAGTTACGCCATTTAATGAAATGGTGAAACTGTTTCCCAACGCTATTCCATTTGATTAACAATTTTGGGGCAATGTATTACATATTTTCTCATCTATTTCTGCACCTGATGTTTCACCGAAACGTTTCATATCCCTCATACAAAAGAAAAGTTGTTTACAGTGATGTCACAAAAAAGAGGAGCAGTGTAATAATTGTTCCCAAAGTTGGCACGAGTACATTTGAGTGATCAAGAATGAAACATAGCGTAGTTGCAATTGAAAATGGTACGCTCAAAACGAACTTTTTTCAAAAACAACGAAACTTTGCTTTGCATTATACGCAGTCAATAGTAACTTACACATTGTTAATCTGCATCTTTACGCAAAACCCGGGCGACGCCGTGTAGACTAACTAGCAAGTAGATGTTGGTGATAAGTTAATGCCCGACCAATACCGAGCTTCTTAAACTAGATGCTTAAATATTTATAGTGATTCTTCGTTTTCAGAGAAGAATGGAATATACATAGTTCAGAGTAATAATATTTCACTAATTAAAGAGGTGCTGTCAGCTTGAATTAAATTAACGCGGAAATTATATGACCTTTTGCTGACAGCTGTGAATGGCTGAAGTTGGAATCAGATCTTTGGAACCATTGACAACTTAGCCTAATAGTGAAATAAAATAAAATGTTAGCACTTACCTTTCCATCAGTGCGACGTGACTGGTAAACCCAGGAACTTTTGAAGGATTGCTTGAAATATTGTAATTTAAAAATTAAACAATCAATTTTATACATTTTGATACTTTTGTTTCATTTCAAAACAGAAATACCTTTATTAGAAAATAACTTACCAGCTCTTTAATGTGTCTCAGTAGTAGGCTATATTATATGAAATAATCTGAAAGTATTAAACGTAATCATATTACAAGTTGAAGCCACTTTTTCAGGCTTCATGTTAGCTCCTGCACAAGAATGATAAAATGATACTAATAATCTTAACACTTAACAATAGTCTTAAATATTAAATGTCGAAGTAAAATAGTGCCGACTATTCTAGAACTGAAATATTAGTCATGTGAGCGTCGAATCACTTATGAAAGTTTACAAAAATGTATGAAGCACTCGACAGATTTATCTTCAATCTCTGCAAAAGACTATGACAGCGTTTTTCGGGAAATGTTCACAAATATCTAATATAATGCCATAAAATTTAGGATCAACTTTATTAACGTTGTTTTAGAGAGTGTAAGAAGTGGTGTAAATAGTCAAAATTTCCTATTCAGCCAGTATCTTTTTTAAGTATTGTTTCAGTAAATGAGAAGTAGGAAAGTCGCCTGCACTAAGACATTTAAATTTTAGAACACCTTTTATTTTATCAGGGTAGGTCGTCTCAAAACTTGCGACACTCGCTTCCGATAACACCTAATCAACAATATCACAGAAAGGCTCCTGTACAAACATCAATACGCCAGTGTGAGGGTGCTATCAATCACAAATATTATTTACTCTTACATTAATGAATTTTATATGTTGGATTTGACATTATAAAATTTCTTGTTATTATTGCAGTAGTGAAACATTCTTTAAAGCATTGAATATTCAAAAAGAAAATGTTTTCAAAACTACTCAGGCGAAGTTTCGTTATGATTTTTTCAAAAGAATGGTGAACTATTAGAAAGACAGAAGTTACAAAATTATTCTCGTAGCTGTTACAATTAATAAGAGAAAAAATATTTCATCATCAGTTTTACAGGTGCGGAAATAAAAGGAGGTGATTTTTTTACTTTGAACATCGTAACATTGGGATCGTAAATTGGTTTCCTGCTTCTGATCTCTCTCCAATTCATAATGAAACCAGTAATTCCTAGGCATTTCACAACTCAGCAGACCTTCAACTATTCGTGTGTTAAAAATGAAGTGAGCAATGATAAGTCTTGACGTCAATATGCCCATTCCTATCTACGGTTCTCCCGTTTCTGTGTAACTGTAGTCGTAAAACTAACATAAAAATGCCTTAGCTTGAATTATGCTCTGATGTACTAAGTTCTTAAAGTAAAGACAATTTTATTGCATTAAACATTTATCTGTTGGCCAGAATTTTTTCTTGGAATTTTAAGCAAGTAATGTAACTACAAAATTGTCGAAAAGATTGGCAGAAAGTAGTTTATCATAGTAGTATCTCATTATATTAGTAAACACAGTCTCGTCCTTCGCAATGGGAATGCGAAAATCTTAACAATCACTTATGAATCACGTCGGAATTAAGTTTTCTATATTTAAAAAAATATTGTTTGTGACCCACAATCGAGACCACAGATAAAGGAAAGAATGTTTGTGGAAAAATTTTATTTTGATTCCAAGGCATCTATTTGTAGATTTGTTGGATTAGACCAACGCCATGAAAAGGAAGGTATATCCGGAATATCCTTCCGACTCTAACGTCGGGGCTGTCGAGTCAATTGAAGATTATTTAGTCTGTAGTATAGTGGCACTAGATACGTAAATATTGAATCCCGAAGTGCAATCTGGAATGACACGAACGTGTCTTCGGCAGCTCTGCTGTTAATAATTTCGACCATTTTTCTGTTTGTGTTATGAAAGGCTACGCCGTACGCAGGCTACAGCTGAGAAACGAATTGTGTGGAGATCTAAAGCTATGACAGTGGGTTGGAAGACGCATTCCTCGGTGAAGAAAGCGTCTGACAACACTGAATAAGATTATTCATTTAACTATTAGCTATGGCACCAGTATCTCCTTCCTTTTAAAAAGTAAATTACTACTTAGAGAAGGCATCACAAAGACAGTGATAAAGTTTTGAAACTAAGATGGTTGAATGAACGGGAGAAGGAGAGTGAAAAAGAGGGGTTACATTGCATTAAAGCAATACTTTTGTTTCAAAGAATAATACTTTCTTTTTCCCACAGATCTTTCTTTTATTTGTGAAAAGTCAGGTTTTTTCCATTACAATATATTACTGGATTGGCAAGAAGCATTACAAAACAACTTAGATGTTCCTGATTTAAATTTGTAAAGCTGCAAATACTTTTTTTTCTCTCTTCAAAATTCTCTCATGAACTATCACACATTTTTACCAATCTGCGTGCATGGCGGAAGGAAAGAACCCGAGATAAGAGAACGAAGAAAGATGTGAATACATAATTATAATAATTAATCTGATATGTGAAGATGGTTCCGCTTCATCCGTTAGAAACTCACACATAGCTTTACGATAGGTCTGTTCACAGTTTCCATATGTACACTATGACCACATACACACATTCGCCGAGTTGGTTTTAAAAAATAGTTTGCATCACTCTGTATTATCCCTCAACTCGCATTGGTCTTCCAAATTTTATCCTAAATTATAATATAGCATAATTATAATACACAGTGAATATAATATTTATAATATTTACAAGACACAAAATCTGTATATAGTACTTCTTAAAACCTTAGATGACTGTCATCTGATCTCTTTAGAAAGCCTTACTCTCATTCACACGACAAAACGCATACAAACAAGTCATGTGAGTGTTCTTGGCTAGGTTGTCTGCACTTCGCATGGAGTTCTGCGGGTGCGTTTGAGCCCGCCCGCCTTCATTATCACAAAGGAACTCGAACCAATCCTTCAAGTCCGCGAGTGCTTCGTGTTCAATGTTTCGTTACATTAAAAAAATAATTGGTAGGTCCTATTTTTGCTTGCTAAAATGCCTAGTGATATTAGCGAGTCCCATTCCGTGTTAGGCCTCAGCATCTTCTGGGCTTCCTCGGGCGATGAAGGAGATGCGGGAGGCTGGCGTGGCAGTGGTGCCAACAGCGGACGAATCTCCCCAGATGGTGCCGTCGCGCCGCGCCCCCGCGCGGGATCCTGGGAGGTGGCGGCACGAGCGTGGAGCGTAGCGCACGCTCCTGTGCGAGGCCACTGCGCCCCTCTCAGTTGGCCGAAGGGTTGGGGGGGGGGGTGCTGGACGCTGGGCCTTCGCGCTTGCCGTGACTGTTCCGATTTTTGGCTTTAATTGCAGTTCTTGCCTTTGTTTCATTTTTTAATTAAGAGAGTAATCATATTCAAATTACTGGCTAAAACCAATTTTTCGTAATTCTGTAAGTAAAGCTACCAAATTTAGAAAAGAAACGCGTCTGCTAACAGTAATGAAACTAATGAATGGCAGCTAAAGATGAAGTAAGAATATCTCGATTACAAGAAAAAGTTTATATTCTATTTATGATTGTTCTCATAACAAAAAGGAAGGTATTACGAAAAGTATTGAACGACACACGAGCGATATCATAAATGTTTGTTTCCTCTCGTTTACAGCCGGGTCGCAATTTACAAAATTCAACTTTGTCCGTTATTTGCTCTTTGTTGGCGCAATGACGTTAATAACTGTAGTATGACCTCCGCTCAAACTGTACGTTTAAAATCATGTGTGGTACGTATTCCTGTTTTAATTTTCGGACAATTCGCTTTCTAAAGGCGTTCCCCTTTCTGGCTTTGTTCTCGAGTCTCCTCCACGTGTAGCCAACCCCCAGTCCTACCAGTCTCCCCATCCCTTGATGTGGCTCGAGAGCCCCTAACGATCCCTGTGCGAACTACTTTGGAAGAGAGTGGCCCGTGAGCCCAGAGCGCTCATCCTTGTGTGGGAGAAGTGAGCCAGGCCACACCTCATGGCGCTGACGCAGGTCCCCAGACACGTAGACACCTGGGCCTGCTTAAAATCATATAAATGCTTTAAATAGCTGTGACTGTGTTCATTGTAACTGTGATGCACCGACGAATTAATAAAAATTTTAAAGAGTATACTAGGTGTAACAAAACTCAACGAGAATAGTTCAGGATTGAATTCTTCGCACAAAAAGAAGAGAGGAGGCTCTTTACAATAGCAATTCTGAAATGCTTAATTACAGATATCAGACTTCATTGTTTAAGTACGCTGCTGTTTGATAATAAATGCTGATTGCCGAAGAAATGCTGAAAGTGACTGTCTCTACCCCAAATGCACGTCTCTATTCGCCTTCGCAATGAGTACCGAAAACATTAAAAAATGTTTGGTTTAGTGCGAACTGCCTGACAGGCACCCACAGTGGATGCACGGTGTTTGTTCGTACCGTATAGGAGTCACACACATCAAAGACTTTAAGTGCACCTGTTTTTTGGTGGGCTTGTAAAATCCTATTGTTTCCATAGGTGGCAGTGAATTCTTTTAAATGCCTTTTCGTCTCGAATTTGAGGGTTGGATATCCTTCCTGATACTATCCACGCGCTTCCAAAGCATTATCATCAACCAAACCCTGCACGTATCGCAAATATGCAATTTAGTTCTTGATTTGTATGCGTTACTCTAGACTGAAAAGCACAAAAAAAGTCTCATAAGAGTAGGTGATGCGGCTAAGTCGTGAGATTGCGGAGCATAGAAATTCAGGTCAACTTCATTGTATTTGCTTATTACTTGGGTTACAATTGTAAGCAGTCGCGCACTTGAGACCATAGATCAAGTTAAGAACTAACATTAATAAGAGTTTGGAAATTTTGCATTAATAAACATTAGAACAAATCATGTTGATAAAAGTTCGGATAGCTTGTATTAATAAAAAAGTCTTATACAATTGTAATGAACATTTATTTGTTAACCCTTCTTACAACAGCCACTTCCTCTCTTCTCGCCGGATAAAAAAAGAATTCCTGATAAAAACGCATGTTGCGTGAGGTCGTAAGTTTGGCATCTGTGCGTAGGAAGCGAAGAGACGTGATTCTGGTTGCGGACGCGGAAGCCTATGTTCTTATCAGTTCCTGACCTTTTCCCGTTGCATTTGTATACTTCCTTTATATCTAACTTTGAACAGTTTCTATTAAAAAACACTGTTCTAGAGTCTCTCTGCGTTTGTTAACCTAGAGCTGTGGATTTCAAATGGTGAACGAACTAAAAGATAACAGGTAAAAATATTAAGATTGAAACGTTCATGGAAAGACGTGTGGAAATGTCTTCTTTGAGAAGTTTGTGAAAGTAGTTAAAAATGTGGATTTCAAATTCAAGGTTTGCATACAGACGTTTGAATGGCAATGATCGATAGTTTCGTAAACATTAAGAGACCGTTTGAGCACTTACGCATGGAAACTAGTACTTGGCTTATTATTGATTGGAAAGTGTTATTTAGCGGTACGAGTACGGCAAAGACGTCTTGTCCATACACAACAATCAAGAACTGCAAAGTAAACAAAACACTGGAGGCCATTAATTAACGAGGCTGCTGCCTCGCGTATTGAGGATAATTGCAAAAGTGTTTGAATTCATACTAAAAAATTAGGAATGCAATCCAAATGAAGGGCCTGTGGCCACTCATTTCAAAATGCTGAACCCGGCGTCCAATCGCCGCCTCGTCCGTGAACATTTCATTCGAAGGCCAAACACTGCTTTCCTGTACTGGTTACGTCAATGAGTAATCTTCAAGTGGGCAGGTTGCCCTTGACGCGAGCGCAGGCGCGAACAGTCAGGGCAAGCGGGGGAGGGCCGGGCTGGTCGCGTCGCCGTCCTCGCGGGGGTGGGGTCCGGGCGCTGCCGCTCCTAGTGGTGGTACTGGGGGTAGAGGAGCGCGGGACCCCACCTGGCTCAGACGAGCCCCGGCGGCTTCACGTCCGCGCCCGTCACGCCGTCCAGCCCCAGCGGCGGCGGCGGCGGCGTGTTGTTGACGGAGGCCGGCGACGCCACGCCCCCGGGCATCTCGGGCTGGCTGTTGTCCTCGCTGTCGCTGCACGAGTCGGAGCTGCCCTTCTTGCTGCCGTTGCCGTTGTGCGTCTTGACGTGTTTGGCCAGGTGGTCGGAGCGCATGAAGCGCTTGTTGCAGACGGGGCACGCGAAGCGCTTTTCGCCCGTGTGCGTGCGGAGATGACGCTGGAGCTCGTCCGAGCGCGTGAATCGCTTCCCGCAAAAGAGCCAGTTGCAGACGAACGGTCGTTCCCCGGTGTGCCAGCGCAAGTGCGCCTTGAGGTGCGACGTCTTGCCGTACACTTTGCCGCACCCCGGGATGTGGCAGCTGTGGATGTTCTTCTTGCGGAGATGCACCCCCGCGGGGCCCAGGCGCTCGGCCTCCTGGCAGTTGGGACAGTCGCACGTGGCGCGGCCCGTGTAGCGGCGGCTGGCTGCCGCGCGACGGAATGGCGGGCAGCGACGCCCGCGGCGGCCGCGGCAGCGCGACCGGGCGGCGACGCCGAACGCGAAGAGTGGTGGTGTGGCGAGGCCGAACGACCGCCCAGCCCTGCGCCGCCGGGCAGCATGGACTTGTACGTGTCCTGCAGGAGGTGGCTGGCCGACGACAGCAGGTGGTGCGCCGCGGCGAGTGGACGCGCAGCGATGTGGTGAGCGCGAGTCTCGGCGGCCGAGGTGGCGGCGTAGTTCGCGCGCGCCATCTGCGCGTGCATGCGGCCGCGCGGAGCCGCTATGTCAGCCAGCGCGGCCGCGCGTGCGGCGTCGCGCCGGCGCCGGTGGCAGTCGCACCAGGCGGCCGCCGGCCGCCGCCGCCGCCGAGTTCACCGCGTCGCCCGACTTAATGGCGGAGTGGTGCGTGGCGGGCATGGGGTTGAACGCCACGACTCGTACGGGTGGCCGAGAGTATACACCGACGACGTCCCACCTGCGCCCACCAACGCGTCCGACTCCTTCACGTCGCTGCGACGACGCCTGCGCCTCGGGTTCGGATGCAATGGCTTTTCTGCGGGAGGGGTTCGCCGCTTGTTCGAACGAGGTCCAACAACAATTCACCTTCATTAACCGAATCGGTCACCTGTTCAACAAACGGTCGAAAAAAACGCACCCGATCTAGACCCCTCCGCCGACGTAGGGGCGACAATCACTCGCGGGACGTGTCGAATCGGAGGGTGCCCCGAAAGTGCAACACTCAATGACACTATACTGTACTTGTGTTCCGAGGAGTGCGAGAGCTGCAAGAGAGGCAAAGCAGCGGCGACGGTGGCGGCGAGGCGTGCGGCGCCGGACACTCACCTTGCGACAGCGCCGCTGGTGCGAGTTGGAGTGTGTTGGTGCGGGGAGCGCGTCCGACCCCACCCGACTGGGAGGTGGCGCCGGGTTCAAGAGTAGACTGTCCCGGCGGGCAGCGTAGGCGCGGCCGCCTCTCGCGCCCGCAGACGTACCGCGAGCGCACGCTCGAGTAGAAATCACCGGGCGGCTGAGTAGTGCCCGAGAGGCTTCCCGCCCCCGCCCCGAGCCGCCCACCGCCGCCGCCGTCGTCAGCCTTGCTGCGTCGTGCGAGGACAGCCGCCCGACGACGCGTGCTGCTGCTGGGCCGCGGCCCCCGGGCCCGCCCCCGCCGCCGCCGGGGCTCTTCTTCCACGGGTGGAAGCCCTTGCCCACCGCCGCGTCCGCCAGCGGCGGCGGTGACTTACTGGAGAGCTTGTTGCACTGCGCGGCCAGCATCGCCAGCGGCGTGCCCCGCAGCCCAGGGTGGTCCTGCGAACCCAAGCCGAGCCACACATGAGAATGCAAGCCACGCTCCATACGAAGCTACGTAGCAAGTGCGCGAAACAGGAGATTCGCGCACGAGGCGAGGTTGTCACGCCATCGCAGCAAGACGAGCGTGCGGATCGCCTTGAGCACGAGTTGCGTATCCTTTTTTTAAACACGCCGCCTACGAAAGATGATTCATACATGCTTCGCGATGCTTCGCAAACCAATAGTTGAAATGAAAAAAAATGGCTGTTTCACACACGGTAAAAAAGCACGAGAGACGCGCTTTTCACGCGCGAAATGTTAAAAATTATTTTCCTTACAATCGTAACCTGACAATACTTGAATGTCAGCGAATGGTATCTCAGGAGGCAAGGGGCTTTTCCAGAAAGATTGAAGAGAAAGTGGATAGTCTAATTATAAAAAGGTAATTTTATCTCCAATTATCCCAACTGCCTCAACCATTTCAAAGAACAAGAACTATTTGTAGCATATTGTTCATATTTCATTTTGTATAATTATTAGAATAATTGTCAAGTCGTTGGAAACAGTCATTTTGTAGCGACGAATTCCATTTCGGCCGTCTTTTGCAACCTCCACCCTAATTAGCATTAGCATTTTGATAAATTAAAATTTATCCGGAAACTGTCCCCTCCATCGGAGGGACACGAACAATTGTTCAAGAAAACAATTATATTTTATTATAAAATTTTTGTAATATTGTTTCTCTATTTTTGTTTGCAAGAAGAAAACAAACAGTTTAGTCCTAAACTTAATTATACAATCTAAAACGTGTGTGCGCCAGGCGTCATCACACATCGTGGATTCACGCCCTCGCGTTAGGTGGTCTCTTCAGGAGGGAGAAGAACAATCTGAACGCATTTTCCACGCCCTTTCTGTTCGAGAGAAAATGGGTATAAAATTGACGAAATACTAATTTCCCAACGAACGACGGTCAAAACTCTCGTTAGCGAAACAAACTTGCCTAACCTCTTTCGCCGGCGCTTGGCTTTACAAAGTTCACATTAACAGCGTCCCGGGGGCATTAAGGATGTGCTCGCCGTTTGCCAATTGAACCCCGGCGCATCCATCAAGGCGGGCGCTTTCCCTGAGGGGTCGGCGCCACCGGCGCTCATCAGAGACCCCTGCGCCACGCCCCCCACCCCTCCATCTCGCTTCGGAGGGAAAACAGCCTGGAAGAGCGAGAGAATCTGAACCATGAAAGAAAATCATTTTCAATAGTTTCTCATTCTGGTATTCGTAGCATGAGCATTAAGTAAGTTTTCTTTCTACGTCATGTAATATTCATTTCATATTCATTTATCAATTTAAATAAGAATATTAAAACCAGCCATTATCTCTTTATGTCACCGAACAGAACTTAATCATCGAACTAAACAGCAATATTTTCGTAATTAGATAAAAAAAAAGAAGATGAAAGATTCTTCAGGTATGTATTGTATAACTACTTGAAGTAAGCTTCTGTGAATTGACGCAAACATCATATGTACAAAAAGCAAAGGAAAATATCACTTCATTTTCATAAATGCTCAATGAATTTACAGAATTCATGAAAAATACTACTTCCTTCGAGAATCGAGAATTCGAAGAATGGAAACGTGCGGAGCCGAATCATCTTTTTGTGATTACGGCGACGTCGATGTCCGAGGTGATGATGACGACTGCCGAGTCATTTCCAAACTTTGGTGATGGAGGAGACTTGTAGTGTGTGGTTGCAGCGTGTTCATGAGGTGTGAATGAGGATGGGTTACGGACGAAATTATCTGATATGACTGGAAAGCGCATCACATCGCTCTACCTACTTGGCTGCTGCCCTCCCGAGGCCGGCACTTCTTCCTATTCTACCACGCGCTTTGTGAAAGATCCGACGAAGTTTTTGGAACAAGGTGTAGCATGTTGCCTGGTAGGCTCCAAACACTTTTTGGCAGTTGACCGCGCGGCGGCGGCGGCGTCTGGCCTTCATCGCCCCGTAGGAGTTCATTTCTCGGCCGCCTCCGCCTCCGCCTCCGCCCTCGCCTCCGTCTCCGCCCTCGTCTCCGCCTCCGCCACCGCCTCCGCCTCCGCCCTCGCCACCGCCTCCGCCCTCGCCTCCGCCTCCGCCCTCGCGGAAGGACAGACAAGACGCGCCTCGCCCCCCCCCTCCCGCTGGCAGCCAACCACCTCAAACTCAGCCCGCTTCTGCATCGCTGTTGCTCTCTCCTCAAAGCCTCCAAGCCAGCCCTTCAGCCCGCGAATATCGACAGTCAAAAAGCAACAACTCTAAAAGTTTTCATTTTTAGATATTGCCGGATGAAAGTTAATATCGCACTGAAATTAGCCTCAGTTTCATCACTTCAACTTAAAATGCACCAAATGAAAGCTCAAAATTTATTATAAACGATATGTGTAACATGAGAGAAAGAAAATTATACAACTGAAAATGATAATTTATTTTTAATTTTCACAAAGCTTTGTTTGCTTTCCCCCTTATTTTCGACTTTGAAACTGCCCATTTTTCTATAGAACTTCTTCTTTTAAAATATCATTTATAATTCATAATATTATTTATCTTTTTAAATTAATAATTACTAGTAAGATGTATGAATTACATCGCAAAAAAAACTGCCTGTGAAATAATAAAGTATTAAAAGATATTATTCCTTTTCTTGTCCACTTTTAGGTAGGTTAATGAAAAATTCAGATTGTCTGAATTCATAGGCTTCTGTAGATCACTAAGAACCACAAGTGAAAGTTGTAGTATTCTATTACTTATTATTAACAGCTGCATTTGGTGAAGCATTCATTACCTGGCTCTCTTGGAAATGAGTGTTTTTATGAAAGAACCTTTATCTCTTTTTTACCGAGGGCAGTGTGCTTTCGGCCCATTTCAGAGCAGAGAGCGCCGCGCTGCCGGCAGCTTCGCGGTGGTCAGCTCGTCGCGCCCGGCCCGCCCGACGCCGCGACAACCAGAGGTGCGCCGGGGCCGACCCGACAATAATGAACGGGAGAAACTATCATCAGGTGGTGAGCGCGGCGGGGGGTGTGGCCGGCGGCGGGCGCCGGGTCGCGTCGGGTCGAAACGGCTGGGTTCTGCCGGGTCGGGTCGGGTCGGGTCGGTCGGGTCGGCTTCCAGCGCGGTCGCGCCCCGGGTGGTCCGGACTTCTGGAGAGCTAATGCGCGCTTCTCATTTTGATGCAAATCGCGTTTTTGGCCTATGCGCCGCCGTCGGGTCCGGCGGCCGCTGCTCGGCGTAGTGGCGGCCAGAGAAAGTTAAAGTCCTGATTAGGCGCTGGGGCATTAGGCAGGCGCGGGCTGCCGAACTGGCGTGCCGCGGAGCGTCGCGGCGCACGCCCCGCGCGCGCTCTCTCGAGGGCGGAGTGCGGGCCCGATTCCGGCTGAAGAGGCTGCGCGCGGTCGGGGCGCGGGATCCGGCTGCAAAGAATTGACGCGTCGGCGGCGGGCGGGGGCGGGAGCGCCGCCCCCGGGGGTCGTGATTTACGGGGCCGCGGCTCCCGGCCACAAACAACCCCGCCGCCACATTACATTACATTTGCCGGCGGCGGGGCGGACGGCCGGCGCCCGGCGACGTCGGGGGTGAGTCAGCGGCCGCCGCCACCTCTTGCTCCCCCGCGCGACCTCAAGGCCGCGATCCGGACCTCGTCCTTGCCTCTTTCGCTGCCGGGTGGCTCCGGGGGCGGATATGTTTCTGCGCCACAAATGCACTTGCGGAAAACACGCAAAACGCCTTTGGAAATTTTGGTATGATTGGCTTGAAATTGCGAAACGGGGTAGGAAGCTACAGTTAAATGAAAATTTTCAGTTGAAGAATTCTATTATTACACTTATAATCAGTTGAATTAGTTTTTCAATCATTTGTATCCTACATCACGCATTTCCTATGACCAGCCAAGCTTAAAAACTTGAATTTTTCTGAATGCAGAATAGATCGCAGCCAGCACTGACTGAGGAAGCCTGATGCAATTTAAGAAAAGCCACAGGAATCCAATAGAGAAAATTACGTCCCTTCTTTGAAAAGAATATACCATATTTATGGCAAATCACCACATGAATTTTAAATATCAATACCACGAACCTATAAATAAATACTGAGAATGACGCAAATTAATTTCCTGACCTAGGGTGGATCCTATTATAGATTAGGAATTAATTTTTATTCTTTAATACTAGGAAATATAAATCTTAAACACAATTCTCATTTCTGTCTTTAATTATATATCAGGCATATGCGTTTTGGAAAAGAAGGATAGATTTTATAGAAGGTATATATATATATATATATATATATATATATATATATATATATATATATATATATAAATAAATATAATGGTACTCATTTCAAAAATATACGCTCGACAAATAACATAATACAATTATCAAATTCTGAAAGAAAATATTTCAATTTTGTGCGTGGTGATTTGTAAGACATGCTTTAAACTACACGTCACGTTTCTCAGATGCGGGTCATGCGTTAATCAGATTTCACCAAGACATAATTTGCGCAACGCTACAATAAATTTTTAATACGGCATAGCAACACGTTATGCAAACTCTTGTCCAATTCTCAGCTGCTGGTTCACCGAACACCAACAACAAATACCAACCCGAATATCCGGCATAGCTGCGTTTTCGTCACAGTTTGATTCGCGGCGACCAATTCGCAGGTTTTGCCAACCGCAGTGACCCTACTCTGCGACCACAACTGCCACTCGCTGGCCAGTGGGACGCAACACAAAGCAATCACATGCCCTGTGATTTCCATACATTTATTTCAATTACCCGGTCATTTTAGAATCTATAAGTCAAGTGTATATTGAAAGAAAAGTAATACAAAATGAACATTATCTCCTTCCCCAATATTTTTTTTAAGATTCTGTCTCATAATATTCTTTGAAAGTTGTCTAAATAAAGTCATTTGTATAAAAATTCTGTCACACACAGTGGCCTGTAGTAGAGATAGTCTCTCAGGCCTGTGGTTGAGA